AGTGTAATTTTACCCCACTGATAATAAATGCCACATTATTGTGATGTACAGCAGAGGACCACGTCATTTAAAGGTTGCCGTGATGAAATCTCTTCAAAAGCGCCAGTCCTGTCATGCAAAATCAGACCCTGAAACTGTTTACGGTGCTAGAAAGCTAGACAGCTAGACTTCTTTCCTGTAAACAACAGTCTGGAGGATGATGATCTATTAGTGAGGATTTAATAAATGTGAATACTCTCACGCTAAACAATTAATTTCTGCATTCTGAGGTTTTAGAAAATAGTTTTTTGCTCATTGTAGTCTGATAAACAAGGCCCAGACTTCATGAGATAATCACTGTTGTGCCAGAAGAGCTTGATTAATGAATACAGGAAATTATAGCGAGTAATTGAAGAAATAATATTATTTGAAACAACACATTTTAACACAACAACCAGTTACAGCCAGAATAAAATAAAAAAGCAAATGTGCATTTTATTATGAAATGGACTGATGGAATATGTAGCACTTAAGTTATTAGTGATCGACCTCATAGGGGGTTAAAACAAAAAGGAACTTTGTTCTGATACCAGCAGTAAAATGAGCTGCTCTTTGGGCATAAATAGGGTGTTCTGTGTGGAAGGAAAAAAAACTGCATCGTAGGTGATTACAGCAATACAGCTCCAAACTAAAGCAATAATCATCTGATTTCTGTTTCCTCAGCAAACAGAAATCAAGTAATAATCATGGTTTTTATTTCAAAATTACACTTGATTGCCTTTACTCAAAATTCATACAATTAATCTAAGAAATAGCGATATTAGAAGATGGTATAACCAAGATTTTTCTGGAAGTGTAAATAGAAGAACCTGAACCAGCAAATAAATACTCATCCATGCATTGTCTTAACTGCTTTCTCAATTGGGGCATGATGGCTGTCACAGGCCAAAAGGTGGAGTATACTCTGGACAGATCACTTCTCACAGGGCTAACACAGAATGACAGACAACCATTCCCACTGATATTCTCAGCCATAGCCTTTTTAAAATCAATTCAACTCAATTCAACTATATTTATATTGCGCTAAATCACAAAAACATTGGCCGCTTTATATTGTAAGGTAAAGACCCAACAAAAATAAAGAGAAAAAAGAGAAAACCCCAACAATCACATGACCCCATATGAGCAAGAGCGTTGGTGAGAGTGCAAACAAAAAAATCCCTTTTACCAGGATTAACATGGATATCTGCCATGAGCGTTTGGGACAAGAATCACCAGGTGACATAACATGCATGTCTTTCAACTATGGGAGGAACTCTTAATACCTGGCATTTAGGCACATGTAAGTGAGAACATGTAAACTTCACACAGAAAGGCCCAGCAAAGCCAACAGATGTAAACACAGGATCTTTTTGCTGGGAGGCTGCAATGCTTAACATTGCACCACTGTGCTGCCTACAAGACAAATATATATGTTTTCATAGAGCTCAACCTCCCACGGCTGATGTTACTAAGCATTCATGTCCAGTATATCTCTCCCTCTGCAGCATAAACAATGCACTTTTCACAGTTCTACATTCCCATTAACAGTAACGAATCTGTCAAAAAAGCGCACATTTTAGTCAAACTGATGTGTAATTACTGTTCTTAAAACTTACGAAAACATTGATCAAAACAGGGGTGTAAGTGTCATAAATTTATTATTAGAAATTATTCTCTGGAATATATTATTGCTGCAAAAGAAGATTGAGATCAAAATGCAATTCAACTTCTGCTGAAGGTGGTGAACAAGTACAAAGTCTTGACATTACCGGACTCACAGACGCTCTACTAATAGCTCTTTTTCTAAACACACATACCCCAGCCTGTTTGCAGCCAGTTATTAATAGTTTAAAAAACTTAAGGCAGCGCCTTCAAAGTGTTTACATTGCATGAATCCACTGTTATATTTGTCATTTTTCAGATAAGGCTTTGGGGCAGGGACAATCCCATAAACCTTGGGCTGTATTTTCCCAAGACAATCTCCTGCTGGTTAAAAAAGCCTTATGCTAAGCAAGTCGACACCAGCCTGTGGTCACTATAATCCCCCCAGAATAAAATTATCAGTGTGGAAACAGTGGGAAATGCTGGACAGGGCAGCTGTGTGTCTAAGGCAAAGCCTTCTGAACCCCTACCATTAATCTCTGTACACAGACACACCTGGACACCTTGCATATAAGCTCACACCTGACTGGGTTTTAGCATCACTTCGTTGGAAGACAAGTGAAGTTCCTGAAGTGACAACTTGAAAGTCGACATCTTTGGACCAAAATGGACCTGACAACAACAGTTTCTCTTCTTCTGCTGCTGCTTCTGGGCCTCTGTAATGCTCATCATGACCATGTAAGTAAATATTCAATAAAAAGTAAAATTGCTTGCTAATACTGCATTTACCACATGATGCATCTCCCATAACATTGGCGCCTATCTTTATCTGTAACGTAGCATTCAACACATTAAATACAACAACATTAATTACAATACAAGTGAAATTTGTTTCTATCTTCTGTTCACAGGATTATGCTGGTCAGAATGGTAAATGAACAAATCTGGGTTCTTTGCAGCTCTGTATAACTAACTGTGTCACATTGTCACTTTTCTCATTGTAACAACAAAGCTGTATGACTTCTGATTTTCTTGCATTCATAGAGATCTCTGGGGAGGACATTACCACAACCATCCTCAGAATGAACAATGGTAAGTATTCAGTCATTATATTACAATGTAGAGTAAAGTAACTTACTTTTTAGAGAAAAACAACACTATGTTGAAAAGTCATTCTCTCATTATTTCAATAGGATCTACAGATTTTCTGGTGGAAGGAGACATACTCATTCCAAGAACCAGAAATGCTATGAAGTGCACAAATAAGCAATACTCCTGTCGATGGCCAAAGTCTCACACATCTGGGACTGTTGACGTCCCTTACGTTCTAAGTGATAAATATGGTGGGTTTAACTGTGGTGCATGTTACAGCACATTAACATTCATCTAGTGAAACACTTATGTCACTGATTAAGTTATTCACAACTGTAGATAATGTTGAGAAGAAGACCATTTTAGATGCCATGAAGGGCTTTGAAACAGCAACCTGTGTTCGCTTCATTCCACGCACAACAGAGAGCGCGTACCTAAGTATTGAACCAAAATATGGGTAAGTTATTTACTACAGCACTACTTGAAACAAAATACACTGCATGGAAATCACTGAAAATGACTGCATATGCAGTGTAAAGTGAAAAAAACAAACAGTAAATAATTTATTTTCTTAAGTATGTTCATTTAAATAATTTGTGTAAAGGAGATTTTGTAAAGTTGGGAACAGTTTCATTTAACTATCAGGTCAGATTTGGTCAAACTTTCACTCGATACATGTTAAACATCAGACTAATGTCAACTGTCTTCCTCTGACGATCATCTCTGGCTTCTTATACTGTTTACATTTTTAGCTGTTCCTCTTTGCTGGGTCGTATTGGAGACAAGCAGGTGGTGTCACTGCAGAGGTTTGGCTGCATCCAGCATGGTATCATCCAGCATGAGTTGCTGCATGCACTTGGTTTCTACCATGAACACACTCGAAGCGACCGCGACCAGTACATCAGAGTCAACTGGCCAAACATCATAAAAGGTAAAAATCTCAAAGCCTCAATGATGACTAATTGAAATAAGACTGTTCTGTTGCTTGGTCTTTTTAATTTATTTGTCTTTTTTCCACAGATTATTTCAACAATTTTGAAAAGATGGACACCAATAATCTCAACACTAAATATGATTACTCCTCTGTCATGCACTATGGAAGGTAAGCCTGAACAAAAACACAATCTTAAGTGTAATTGTGTTGCACAGAAACAAATTCTGTTTAATCGCCTCTTGCAATTCTTCCTAATTATAGGACTGCCTTCGGAATTACTCCACAGTCAGAAACATTAACTCCCATCCCCAATCCCAACGTTCCCATCGGCCAGAATGTTGGCATGTCTGACATCGACATTCTCAGGGTCAACATACTTTACCAGTGCAAGAAGTAAACGGGAAGAAAATATTAAAAGCATTATAATAAAGCATTGTGACATCTCCAGTTGTTTCTGAGTT